TCGACCACATATTCACCATTCGTCAGGTTCTAGAACATAGGCATACTTATCGGCGTCCGACGATGGTGGTCTTTCTTGACTTAAAAGCAGCATTTGACTCGGTAGACCGCGAGATTCTGTGGCAGTATCTGTCATTGAAAGGCGTACCTCAGAAGTACATAAACCTTGTAAAGGCTCTTTACTCGAACACTACTAGTCGAGTGAGAGCTTATGGCGAACTATCATCTACTTTCGCAACTTCAAGTGGTGTCCGTCAAAGATGTCCACTTTCCCCATTTTTGTTTAACTTCATCATAGACCTACTGATGGAAATAACTTTCTCGTCGACTGAGTTCTCGGGTATTGATCTCAATCCAGGAAGTTCACTTATTGACTTAGAATACGCAGATGACATAGTCCTGTTTGGTGAAGACGCTGACAAAATGCAGAGTCTTCTGGTAGCACTGAGCAACAATGCCAGGATGTTTGGAATGCGCTTCTCTCCCTCGAAATGCAAGTTGTTGCTTCAGGACTGGTCTGCGTTAACACCTGAACTAAGGATAGGGAGTGAAGTAGTCGAACGCGTTGACAACTTCACTTATCTTGGAAGTCTGATCAGCCCTAATGGGTTGGTATCGGACGAAATCTCAGCACGGATTCGAAAAGCTCGCTCGGCTTTTGCCAACTTACGTCACCTGTGGCGAAGGCAAGATATCCGTCTATCAATAAAAGGACGAGTATATAGCGCGGCAGACCGGTCTCTTTTAATTTATGGCAGCGAGACATGACCATTAAGAGTAGAAAACACTCGTAAGCTACTAGTATTTAACCAAAGATGGCTTAGAAATGTTGCTGGCATCTGCTGGGATCACTGGGCAAGTAATAGTGAAGTTAGACGCAGGGTATTAGGAAATGATGATAAATCAGTTGATGAGGTTATGAATCTTCATCGACTGAGACGGTTGGGCCACGTGTTACGTATGCCCGAACACCGATTACCACGACGTGCAATGCTATCCGGTTTTGGGGATGGTTGGAAGAAAGTTAGGGGCGGCCAAACCAAAACGTGGCATCAGTGCTTGAAGTCACTAACTTCTAGTCTGAGCCATGCTGGTAGATGCAGACTACTTGGTTGGGGTCTGTGTGACTGTCGTAACCAATGGTTGGAGACTCTTGGTGATATGGCTCAGAATCGATCACAATGGCGTCGGTGTATACACTCCATGTCTTCCCTTAAACTAAGAGATTAAAAGCGCTTCATATCTTTCTTTCTACGAACCAATTCTTTCTTCTTGTACTATATCTTTATATGCAATCTTTCTCTTGTATATTACCACCTTTTACCTAACCACTGTTATGAATCCGGTGTTCATCTTGTTGTGCTGATGCGGTATGGCAACCTGGACCGATGCACATATGTGCCTGGTCCTACGTTGTAGCTGACTGACTGGTCAAATACTAGTAGCTTACGAGTATCTTCAACTCTTTAATGGACATGTTTCGCAGCCGTAAAGTAAAACAAAACGAACTGCCGCGTAATATACTCGTCCCTTAATTGATAGACGGATATCTCGACTTCGCTATAGGTGTCCTAAGTTGGCAAAAGTCAAACGAGCTTTTAGAATCCGTGCTGAGATGTCGTCAGGCACCAACTCATTAGAACTGATCAGACTTCCAGAATAAGTGAAGTTGTCGATGAATTCGACTACTTCACTCTCTATCATTAGTTCAAGTTTTGATGTAGGCCAGTCCTGAAGCAACAATTTGCATTTAGATGGGGAGAAACACATCCCAAACATCCTGGCATTGTTGGTCAGTGTTACCGAAAAAGTGCATTTTATCAGCGTCTTCATTAAACAGGACTATATCATATGCGTATTTCAAGTCAATAAGTGGTAGGAGATCAATCCCCGAAAATTCAGTCGACGAGAAAGTTGTTCCCAGAAGTAGGTGTATGATGAAATAGAACAAAAATGAAGATAGTAAACAGCCGTGCCGAACACCACTTGAGGTTGTAAAATCAGTTCGTCATAAGCTTGACAGGTAGTGTTCGAGTTCAAGTTGCCACACCACGTCAACCCAGAGATGAAATTATCAAGATGAATTGCAATGTAGTAGCAGATTAAAAATACAGAGAAATAGTTGATTTAAGAGAAATGGATTCGGGATTTATAATATATAAGTCTTGAGACTTAGGACCTAGGAAAAAACAAAGAGTAAACGTATCTGTCTCATTATGACTGACTCTGCACCATGTCATCCAAAGTCAAGCAATAATAACCTCACGAAAGCCAACCTCGTAAGCTGTACATAATAACATGACGCACATTAAGTCATGGACAGATGCCACTCTTTGATTTGGTGACCCCTACTTATCATCCAACCTCTTAAACCGATCAACATCCCGCGTTGAGGCAGGAAGCGATACATATCGTAATCGCCTCCGTCGACGAAAAACCACAATATTTTCAACCAAATTCAGTTTTTGGATAGTATTCTGCGTTTGACCTCAAAACTGCTCACTTAATAGTCTAAAACAAGGCTAGTAAAGCCTCGAGGATACCTATAATCAAACAGTAATAACCTATGGATATCCGCTGTTTTTGAAGTCCATGTTTTAAAGCCATAAATGAAAGACAGAGAGGACTATTGCGTAGTATACTCAACCTATAGCTGGGAAACAGACATCTCACCTACGCCATAAGTGATGCAAACTGCCAAAAACCAACTGAGCTTTCTGAGTCGGTGCCGAGATTTTGTTAGCCATCAACCTACTAGGACTAGTGAGACATCCAAGATAAGTGAAGTGATTACCATCCGTAGTTCAAGCGCTGATCCACACCAGTCCCGAAGTGACATTTTGCAACACAACTAGACATCATTTTATTAGTGTATTCATCAAACAAGACTGTTATTTAAGTATCCCAAGTCGAAGAATGAATCATCTAGCAAGTGATTAATTCCTGAAAAGTTCGAAAGCGTTATCTCTAAAAGTGTGTAAACAACGAAACTAAATAGGATTGAGTGTAGTAAGTAACCCAGAAAAACACTAATTGAGATTCGCAGTTCCGACAAGAGTTCTTCATAAGCTCTGACTCAAAAAATTGTATTCAAGTAAAGAGTCCTCACAAGGTTTATGTACTTTTTTGGTACATCCAATGATAAACACTGTCAAAGAAACTGCAAATGGAGCCGAATGATGTTTAAAAGTTCGGAAATGCCTCTACTGTCAAGAGCCAGGAAGTATTCTTCTGTTCTAGAACGTGACAAGGGATGAATACTTGGTAACACACCCACTTCCAGGTTTGAAACCACTCTGGTTTTCCCAAGTTTGCTGTTGCCAAGCCCCAGATAAAGGCAAGGGTAATTATAGAGGGCAACAAATTGGTCAAATCGGTTCCTGTATGACTATCACAAAAGGACTATTGTCTTTTTTTTATAATCCGGTACGATCAGCGAACGACACCAGTCAGATGGGATTACGTTCAACTCCCAAACTAACTGATTGTTGCTTTAATAAAAGCAGAGAATTTGCAAACATTAGAAATGCTTCTTGCTTAATAGAGCATATCCATCAAAAAGTCATACTGTGGTGTACAAATATACTAGCTAAGACCATTCTTTCATGTAAGTAGGAAAAGGCCTTATGAATAAGATTTCTTGGGGTTAAGTCAATTTTCATACGACGAATTCCAGAAAGCACAGTCATCTAAATTACAACCTGAAACGAACATGTATATGAGAAGAGCAGTGGCTTAGTGATTAAAAGTACCTAGTCATTATTTTGAATCCCGACCCACCTACTCCAGTTTTTGTTTCCCCAGAAGCATATACACTTAGGATCACCATATTGAGAAGAGGAAAAAACAAGACGAAGAAAACGGTAGTATATATATACAGAATGCAGTTCAAAACAACAAAAACAAGAAACTCTAGAAACTTTAGCTTCATGTTCGATCTCACCCACTGAAGATGCAAACCCACGAACTCACAACTCATAAATATTTTAAGTGGATGAAAGTAGTATAAAATATCCATCACATCTTACTTCAAGATTTGCAGTAATCTCAGAACCTATGGCGAGAAATCATACCAAGTAGACATATCTAACGGTTTATCGAGGTTACCTTGTACTTGAAAATCTTACTAGGAATCTATAGGCAATCATATCTAGATAATGCAGGCGACCGGGTAATTACAAATATTCGATTACAGCTAGTTTCAAGTCCTCACGTATCGTGAGAATACCGAGCGAATGATGTTGAAATCGTGTGACGCAAGATACAGTAAACCAGTTTGATGAGGCAGCAAAAAGATCAGTAACAGACGTATTACATGCAACAGCATTCAAGTGATTTACTTCAGAATAAGAAAAAGCCACCTGGAGATATATGATTTAGAACCAAACGAAGGACAACTGGTTCGTAAAGCAATGGTACAATGAAAAGCTTAATAGAACCAAGGGAAAACTAGCTGAGTGTGACAATCCTTTTAATTAGACTAAGAATATTAACGATCATGAAACAAAAAATCATAAAATAATAATGCTTAGCACATGAAGGATGAAAACAGAATGCACCTGGAAAACGCAACATATACAAACAGACTTATTTCAATAGTCTTAGTCAAAACTATGTCCCACACCATTAAGTAAGAGTAAGTAACTTCAATTTGAATTCATCATGATGATTCCTCTACACTATTCATGCACTAAAGTTCGTTAGACGTTAGAGAACAAGTTGACTCCAGCTCTTTTGGCTTTATGTTGCAATACAGAAAATGGTGAAATGTACAAGTATGAATACAACTTTTGATATATTTAACTGCACGACGAACATAATCACTCAAACAAGCTTTGAAATTCTTACTTAGTCATTTCAGGTTTCAGCTATCTTTTATATCTTAATAAAGAGCTACGCGGTGCAAATACAACAACTAAGTACTTAAATGGACTAAAGATCCACAAATAGATAGACTAATCAGCAGTTTTGTCATTTTAAACAATATCATCAAAGACTTACCTAAACCAACTATCCCAAGAGTATCACGTCGTATTCGAGCAGACCCGTTTGCAACTTCCTTTAAATGCTCAGGTCCATTAATCCGTTTGCCCATTTGCAGGCTGTTTGCTAACCAATAAGTACGTCGGTATAACGTCAGAATGTGGCAAAGTGTCGTATCTGCAGACTCCTCAACACCAAATCCGGGAACATTACAAACAGCAATTCCAAGTTCCCCAGCGGCTTTTATGTCAATGTTGTCATAACCGCTGAAAAGGAATATTAATTTATAGGTAGAATTAGTAATATATACAGAAATAATATTAAGAAAGAACCAAGAATTATTGATGGAGTTTTGTTCTCTGAGCTCCACAAACAAACCATCCAGCTCAGAGAACAATACTCCATCAAAATCATCCACGTGAGCTACAAATCTCCTCCACCATCTCAAAACCAAGAATTCAGAATTTCAATAAACCATATATATGCAAATAAACATAAACCCACCTGCCTATCCTCACGATAATCTTTAGTGATTTGAATTTCTGAAGGTCCTCGCGCGTTAAAGAAATGGTATGCCACATTAAAGCCCCAACAGCTTCTTCAAGGACTTTGCCATGAATTTCACTGGTGGATGAAGCATCGCAGAAAGCAACTGTGGCCACATCTTTTAACAAGGGCATTTCAATAGTGCAGTCACGACCATCAAGCAATGCAACAAGTGGTTTCGCTGGTGGAGGTCCATTAGAAGAACGATGAAGTGACATTAGAAATCCTCAGTTAATTATAGAAGTTATCAATCCAATATAATAATGCTTAAGCTAACAGTTAATTTTAACAATTTAATGCGAGTAGGAGGACACGAGAACAGTGACGCAGCAGAATGACAGGCGAAGTGATATTTTCATTTTCAAGTAAATCTCTAGTTTGCCGAGGGTCTTTAACATATATGTTAATGAGCCATGTGGTCTACCCCCTATTTTGATTGTTCTGCCGCCTAAAAGCATTAGCAAATCGAAGTCACGCAAATTGTTAGGGTGTGTGAACATCTACCAGAGCAAAACTCAATTGGAGGTTTATGATTTCCACATCATTAGGAGAATACTGGTTAGTCATCTTACTATTTAAACACAAATATACGGTTCTTGCTCTCCCCTCTTGTAGTGGTGTTGACCTTCCGAGTTATCGATTTTCATACCCAGAACAACCACAAAGCAATATTTATTGTTTGTTAGTCTCATTTCGGTCTAATGCGTTTATAGAGGTTAGTGATAACAAAATTTTAATGTGGTGTGTCTGCCCTCATCACTTGCATCACATGTATTTTATATGCCCGGTATAAATGAGAGAGACGAAAATTAACACTAGGGTGATAATTATTGTTTTTTACCTAATCGCATTATGTGACCTGAGATTGTTGTTTATTTAACGCAGTTATTGATAAACAAGAACTTTTATTTGCAACTTAATGAAATATCTTAGTATACCAACCATATTCGAGGAGTAGAAAATCTTATAAGCTCGTAAACTCTGATTTTCATTAAACAAGGTAGATAAAACAGATGTATGAGGAATCCCACAATAGAACGAAACGGCCGTCCAGTGCTTCCAGGTTTCCAACGATGGTATAACAGCAAACGGTTCATGATCTCAATCAAAAACTAAATAAAAAAGATTGGTTCAGCGAATAGTTCTCTTTTCGGCGAATTCATTTTTAAAGCTGTACACGCGGAAATATATACTTATTTTTTCAGGATGATGATTATAATAATAATGATAATAAACTTCTGTTAGACATGGTAACAGTAAGATAGAATAAACAAAGATCTTATAAATTCCTTTTTTAAGCCGGGAAACTAATAATAGTTTGATTGTCAAGGGCTTAAATATTCATCATAATGATAGATAGGGAAACCATTATTGGGAAAGGATGGCTCAACATGATAAGATTGTACAGCTTTGAAAATGAATTCGCCGAAAAGATAACTCTTCAATGAACCCATCTTTCTTATTTAAAGTCTCAATGGGTGTATTCCGTTTATTAAATGTATAAATCACTACTTAATTTAAATTTGACATCAACAACTAACATCACCTGAAGAACTCCTAGAATGTAAGTATTGGTGAACAATCGCTCCATTTAATTACCGACCGTCTCAAAATGTGTTTCGAACTAATTTGAAACAAACAACAGTTCCTTCTTAGTTCTAAATCTTTATCCTGGTGATGGATACATACATACATACTTTGTTCGCTTTCTAGTCAACAATATGGTGGAGGAAACCCATAATCTGTCTATATTCCACGCTCAAAAATATTTGTTCATCAGTTTTACCAACAAAGTATCACGATACATTTGACCCAGTGGTTCATGACAAACTATTATTCAGTGTGATTAAAATGATTTGCATTAAGTAATTTGATCATAACAGAACACAACAATTGAGGAACGACACGCATCAATATTAATTTTTTTATTGTTAGTGTATAACGTTTAACTGAATCAATTAATCATCAAACAAACAAAAGCACTCAAACGGAATTTAATGTCCAAGTGTTTATCTTAATTATAGAAAAAAACAACTAACCATCTCAATACTATTATAGAGTATTCCTGTTTATATCTTTTATCACTACATTTTAAGAAACTTGACAGTATTTTAATGGTAACTACAATATGACATATTTTCTGGATTTAAGCAGTTGGATTATTATTTATGTACAGTTAACTGAAAAAAAATATAATTTTCAATTTAATATTAATCCTTCACTGTTTTTTGTTGTAATGTACACTAAGTATTTTTATAAGCATATTACAATGGGCTTTGTTTTACTTCCATTACCTATACAAGGAAGTGAATTGATCAATTCGTAAGATCCCTAATATTTGACTAACTATGACAATTAGAAGTATTCGAAATAATGTACTAAGTATTCTTAAAATAGTGCAATTTAAGTTAGGTAGAACTAGATGGGCACAAATGAATGCATTATACTCGGAATTCGTTATCAGAGGGCAATCAAGCACAAAGGAATCATTAGTTCGTACAAATACCGCATTAACCCAATAAGTAAATTGATTTATTTGAGCGTTGAATTGATAGAGAGAACGAAGAGAGGTTATTGAGCTACTTCCTGTTCATTTCAATTGATAGTGTCCATTAAACACTGACCTTCATCAAATAATTATTGAAAATTAAGAAGAACTGAACAGTTGTTTTCTTCTAGTATAGGTCTCTTCAGCAGTGGGCATACATGACTTTGCAGAGAATCAAACTTAGGACCATTTAAGTATTTCGACGAACAATTAACGTTTAGACAGTTGAATCAGTATCCAATGATTAACATTTATAGCTTCAATTAATACTCGAGGTGGCTCAATCATCGTTCAGTGCCGTTGCTGGGTAACAATTACACATCGGACATTACTGAACTCCCATTTGATTTCAATACTTAACATTAATTTATTGATTTAACAAAGTAGTATTCCCGCCCTAATACTAGTGTTAATATAAACTATTATGTAAATCCAAGTTATAAATTTCTAGTATTAAGTGGTGCTTTTTGCCTACTTATCAGCTTGAGAGTCACTGAAAACACGAGAGCTTTGTATAAGTGTTGCATACAACTTTCGGGAATGGAAAATATCTTACGCTGACAACCAAACTAGGATATGAGCCAAGACATTTAAGCCTTACAACAAGAATGATGCCCTCTGAGCGGTGATTCTGAGTGCCTTGGTCCACATGCTCGTCTGATTTTTAGACAATATAACTATATTTTTACCCAGCGTCATAGGTAATTCACTGGTAGTGGCTTGGCTTCAAGATAATTCCTTATGCTTCGTTTAGCAATCACCCTGATAATGGTTATTAAATAAATCTCAACAGTGTATGAATTCACAGAGCAGTAGAAAGCGGTGGCTGAAGTTTATTATTGTATAGCACATATGACAAAGTTACAAGCACAACGAGCTAGTTTGAGCATAAAGGCTAATGCACTCAAGTAAGTAATACGTAGGCGGATTCAGAGTCAAACTGAATAAAGGCGAGTGAAGCGAGGCAAAGCAATTAATAAGATTCAAGCATATATATATAGGCGATCAACATTTAAGTTGGAAAGAGATATGTGATCAACATATACGTCTATACAAACATAATAGTGATCATAATAATACAAAGAAATAGACAAATTATTACTATTCGAATAACACTGTTAAATGTGTTAATTAAAGGGCTTGATAAAATTAATTGTAGGAGAGTTGCTATACTCATCCTGATGTGGTTAACTCAAATCGTTCAAAATCAGTCAATTGTAAGTAGTCAGTGTACTTTCTAGTTAAGGTCAATTCATGATAAAAACAAATTTATGACGGCATAACAAGGGTTATAAATTGATAAAATAAAAATTTTGTTATAACTACGTTATTTGACCTCAGATTTTTTAACAGTTAGGTTTCTACTATCATACAACTTCTATTTTCTGGTTAGACCGATCTTTAATCCTTTCTGTACAGTTAATAAAACTTCTGGTAGAAAGTGACGCATTTTTATTCAGTTTTTCCATTTTTTTGTATTCAAAGTACTGTACGTAAACTCCTTTCAGAACATAGATATATAGTTTTTTAAATGTATTTGAGGTAAATCTTCACACATCATCCTTTAATTCATAAATAATTGTAAATTGTTACTTGTTTCTCATAACAAAATTTGTCTTGCTTCTTATCATTATTACATTTTTTCTCCACAGAATTTTCGTGCTTAGAAATAACCAATATTAAAATTCACCGGCAATTACTATGTCTAAGTTTAAAAAGTAAGTCTTGAAAAATTAATCACAAGAAAAAAACCTACGATCGATTAGTACTTTTGACTAATAGAAAGCACAGTACTCAGACTATGTATAAACGTACAATAATATTTGAGTGTGTTTTGAATGAGATAGTAATAGTCTCAATGTATAAAGGTAAATATTAATACACTTTGGATGGAAATACCGTCATGGTTGTTCGCCTTCCACCACACTTACGTTTAAAAAGATGTTTGACAGATTGACTTCTTATTGTTATGATCAAAAAGACACCTTTTTCACAATATTCTATCGATCACGTTTCCGTATCACTTGTGATGCTGGAGAGAGGATATCTTTCCACTATTTGAAATGATCCATTTTAACTAATATACAGTCCTAAAATTTAAAATGTTGGAGATCATTCAGTTTGTAGATTTCTTAAAGCATTTAAAGCTAAAAAACGTTGAACAATTCTTACTGTCCTAGTATAAAAAATGAAGCATTATGCATCAAAGACTTCACTTAAAGTGAAACCGAGGACATTCGAGATTCTTGACATATAAATTACCATAAGGCCACCGAGTTTGGGATTATGTAGTTAGCATATTAAAGTCCAGTCAATTATCAGTATTCCACAACCGTCATATATGCGAATATTGATTATTAAATTCAAAAAAGTTACTGACAAAGTAATCTGAAAATTACACATTAACAACGCCCAAATAATTTCTCCTCAAATACTCTTAAATAGGTAATAAACTTCTTATTTTGTTTATCAAACATTTACAATTATTATAAATAAAAATAATATATTTGTAATATCCCAATGAGTAGAAAATTGGATTTTCTACTCATTGGGATATTACAAATATATTATTTTTATTTATAAGAATGAACCCAATGCTCAATTTATTCGAAATTATCAAATCAAACCTTGGTAATGACACCTATTTACAATTATTGTTTCGTTTGTTTGTTTATTAGTTCATAGCTCATTAACTCATATCATTTGGTATTGTTAATTCTCAATCGGTCAACTCATATTCAGTGACCAACTTCACGTTTGCTTAGTCCTTAATGCTGATCAAATTCCATCGATTGAGTTG